TATATATATATATATATAGGCTATATATATATAATTTTATTTATGTATATATATTTCACCAATTCAACACAAGTCCTAGTTTATTATTTAGCTGAATTAATAATGATGAATCAACAAATTACCTCATATTAAAAAAAATTTAATTTCACCATTGCCCTATTAATTTTAGAATAACCATAATACCTCATTTAAAGGTCTAAATATTTATATATATTTTTGCAGTGTATATGAGAGACAGTAGGAATCAGTTAAAGGCCTTTTGATAGACAGCAGCATAGCTTTGTGGACCACACATGATGTGGTTTGCTCTTCTTGTTTACATGCAGGTGATGCAGGCTCAGTTTGCTCAGGACAACAACCCTGATGCTCAGACTCTGCAGAAGCTGGCCGAGCAGACTGGCCTCAGTCGAAGAGTCATACAGGTGGGTGCACAAAGACAAAACACATGATGGAATACATTGCATGATCGCGTGACGTCTGCTGGTAGAGATGTTTGGTGTTTGAGCTTTGTTCATTTTATGTCTCTTATGTTCTACAGAATAATGTCCAGTTTTATACCAAATGAGAATTTAAATCCCTATGCACATAATAAACAAAGCATATTGCAGATTTCCCTATATGTGATAAAGCAGCTTCTTTAAAGATAAAAAAGGACTTTAAAGTGAATTTTTAAACAAAGATATCCTTGTTGGTTAGATATCATTCCTTCATAATGACATGGTTGCAACGCATGTCTTTGTAACTTAAAAACAATATTGGTTCATCTTGTCGTCTGGTTAAAATGCAGTTATTTTTGTTTTCAATGTGATTTTTATCGCAGGTCTGGTTCCAGAACTGTCGAGCTCGCCACAAAAAACATGTGAGCCCCAACCACACCTCCAGCACACCCATGACCTCCCTGCAGCCTGGCCGTCTGTCCCAGCCCACTCCGACCCCTGAGGAGCTGCAGTACACAGCCTATGGAGGCCCAGAAGGGTCAATGCTCTCAGCACTACATTCTTTTATTGACAGTGAGTACAAGGCTTTATATCAACCACAAGAACAAATACAAAACAGCAATAAGCAGATTTTATTATTTAAAAATTATTTTTTGGGGCATTTTTAGACATTTATGTCATCACTAGCAAATAGTTTAGTTGTAATATTTTAGTTACAACTTACTGGTGGTCTCTAATACCCAAATATAGACTTATCTTTTAAATATAAAAAGTAGGAATATATTAAATGAATTGTAGTATGCATTCATAAAATAAGACTAATAGTGTTTTGCCATATTCCTTGCCTAAATCTTCTCTTATCTGCCCTGTAAGATTCTACTCCTGCCTGATTATCTGCATTAGCAAAAAATCTTAAACCAGAAAAGTAGTATGCTTAAAATGTTCCCCTGAGGGAAAAAAAAGGGAGAATGCAAGTTGGGAGGATTTTACAACTTGTTTCAAAGGCATATCCTGCATCAATGACATAGAGGTGATCAGGAAGTCCCTGTTGCCGTATTAGGTGCCTTCAGCTCATCTGCATTGTGTGATCGGGTGTTGGTCCTCTTTCTTCAGACAATATTCTATGTGTTTTCATGCACAGTGACTATATTGATATTAAAGCTTGTCAATATAGGGAACCATCACCCCCTCTAAAAGTCTGGGTTCGTTGCATTTAACTTGATAAAACATAGTGGACCAACACAAGGAGATGACTTGGTTCCACAAGGCAGCTTAGGTTCTCCGCCTTTCTGTTCTAAATGAAATGTAAAGCTTTGGTCAAGAAGCAGACTCTGGAATCCTGCACAACATCTCGTTCCATTTTTTTTTAGCTCCTTGTGAATCTCTACCTGGAGAGCAATCCAAAGGTGGAGGGGGATACAGAAATGGCTTGGCTTTACTCTACTCTTGATGCTGTGGCCCCTCCTGCTGTGGCTATAATTTTTTTTACCACACTTTTTTTCAGTTTACTCTGTATAAAAAGAATACAACCCTTTATTTGCAACTAGCTGCTTTAAAAATGACTTTTCTGGCTTGCCATCCATTTGAAAGGTATTGATGAACGTCTGCTGGGCATTCAGCAGCCGTCTCTATGATTGTCGAGGCCATAACCAATCCTTTCCGTATTAAAACCTGAATTTTTAATGGTCGGAGAACAAATACAATCCTATTTTTTTTACCTAATTAAATCACAAAAATATATTAAACAAATTGCTGATGATACTCTTTCGTTTTATTGAGATAGATGCTGTTAACATAGAGCTTTATATCAAAACATGCTCACACTGTAAATGATCACAATTCTGGTCTTTTTAATATTGTTTCTTAAATAAATTTGCATCTTCATGCTGACTCTGACTCTTTTCCCTCCATGTGATTGCAGTCCACACTCCTCCCTCCATGTTTCAGCCGCTGCTGCCTGCTCACACCATGACCTCCTTGCCTGTGTCTCATGCCTGAGCTGCTCACCTCGCCAGCGTTTCTCCTCCATAACCAGCTGCAGTATTCCGGTGCCCATGGTAAATCTTCATCACATCATAACACCATTTTATTTCTTAAACTTCACGATCTTTACATGTTTATACTTTAAAAGAGAAAAAAACAAACCGAAGACCATAACTTACAGTCCTCTGTGTACTGTATAATGTGGAAATGCAAACGTTTCGGTGTACCTCAGCGCTGTGACACATGGCAGTATATTTGTTTATGTGGTTGGTGACAATGTTTGACTGTGCTATTCCATGTGAAAGCCAATAGGCTCTAAACTTCATATGAAGGTGACCCAGAATTTGTTTTACATAAATGTTGCAATTTAATTTATTGTATGTGAAGTCTGTTTTAAGAATAAAGAACTAATTTCACAAAGCCTGTGGAAATGATTGAAAACCTGCAAACTGGCTTTACATCACAGCTCAGCAGCAGTTATTGCACAAAAAAAAAATTCTATTGTGAATCCTGAAGGAGCAGTTTGAATATGCAGCTTTAGAAATGAACACATTAATAAAAGCAAACTCTTCACATTAAATAATCTGCAGCTCAGCATCATCGCAGTTTTACTTTTCAGGGGTTTTGAAATAAAACTTGAGTCACATTTTACAAGAAGGGAGGATTAACTTGTGTCTACTTGTTGACTGTGGTTGACCAAAAGAATCTTATTTTCAGACATGGGAGGGAGCGGAGGGCATATAAAAACAACGTTTCACTACACTTATCAGATCTGAACTATTCTCCCTCCAAGGGACCTCAGCTTCATGCACAACAAAGAGATATGTGCGATTCAACTGGGAGTGTAGCCTCTATTCAGCACAACACAGAAATGACAACATGCCATGTGCTCCATGCCCCGTTGAAACACTGCATGCTTCGTTTGTCCGATTTCTCATCCACATGAACTGCTGTCTTGCTTTTACTGAATGGCTTCATGTCCCGACATGTTCAGCACAAGTGGGTGTTTAAAGTCTGCCAGCGCTGTCACTCTGAGGTACCATGAGGGCAGGCTCTCAGCTCTGACAGATGAGTGGTAGAAAAATACTTGGTTGAGGTTATATAATGAGAGAGAATAGATTAAATATGTATTGATATATTAAAAAAAAAAACACTCCACAATAATAACATATGTACACATTAAATACACTTAGGGTTTAAAAGTAGAAAAAAAAGCCGGATAAAGCATTGTTAAACAGCTAAGATGCTCATTTATTTTATATATTTCCAAAAAATCTATTAGATACCAAACTTTAAATATCATTCTCTTCTGTAGCACTATTCTAAAACAATAAAAACATAAAATGGGTCCCTAACTGGGGTTTACAATAAAAATCAGTTAAAGAAACAAACCTCCAGATCTGCATGTACACAACTAAGAGGACCATCTTGGAAACACCTACAGTATACAAAAGAGTATTTTCTGGCTTTTGCAGTGAGATGTGTGAGAAAGTCACAGTTTTAGATAAAGCTAAAATAAAAGACGTGTTGTACTTAAATGTAATTACATCTGTAGTTCAGATTTAAAATACTCAGGGGGCATCAAAGTCTGGTAAGGATGTCAGTTTAACTGAGGAAAGCCTCCACTATCTGACCTATAAAACAAGCCTCTGTGCAAACTTTAAACTTTTAGAACATCCTCTATATGCTGCAATAAAAAAACACTTATTTCCCTAGCCCATACATATACAGTACACACCTACAAATCAGCACCAAGAAAGCAATAAAATAAAAATATTATAAACACTGATGAAAAAATAATACCCTATTTAACCTAAAAACAAAACAAACAACCCTTCATATTTGTAAAAGTAGCAGATTTTTTCAATTAAATCATCTAAACAACCATCTAAAATGTAAACAATTAAAGTTATAAAACAATCAAACCAAAGATAAAACTCATCAGTTCTTTGGTGAATACAGTAAACATTTTCTTAACCTTTAACCAATAAATTCAGTGCATTCACCAGTAGAACATGCAGTAATGTTATGTTAAAATAAATGGCTCCCTCAAATGGCAAAAACAGGCAACTACAAAAGATTTAACTTTAACAAAACCTGAGGTACCTGCAGTGCTAATAAAGATATCTGCTGCTCAGAAAGCAACATTCTGTGTCAAACGACTGCAACTATAAATATCATTCAAAATGATTCAGGAGCAGAAAAAAAAGAAAAGGTATCTACTCTAAACATTAATATACGATGTAAACATTAGTAAAAATTCTGAATTAAATAACATTTTAACTGGAAGGAGCTTCTGTAAACATATATTTGTCAGTTTACCGCCTCATCATCTTCAGACATGCGTTGGTTACGGTGTTTCTGTTACAGCACTTGTGTCGTTTCTCTCTCTTGCTCTTATTAAGATCTTCATCAGCTTTGGGTTCATGTGGTAGGGCTTGCTTGGGGAGCCATTGTTGATCTCCAGATCCAGCACTATGGGAAAACAATACTAATATTAAATACAATTGTGATAATTAATAGCAACGCTATTAATTTAAAACCTCTTCAAGTGCATTGGGAGATGCTTCATCCATTTATGTTTATTCAAAAACAAATGATCACATTTTCATTGGATTCATCAAGTTTAGGAAAAAAAAAATCCTGTACAAAAACAACACAGATCAATTTCCAGACAGAGGTGTGTATTATACTGAGTAATAAACAGCACAACATCTGAACCATCCAATAATAATAATAAAAAGAATACCAAAGATGGCTTTAAAATCCTTTTAAAAACGTTATCCCAAAAAACTCCAAGTTGTAGGTCTAAAATCACAGAAGGAGGAGCATTTTGATTCCTTTTTTTTGACAACTAGGCACATAAACTAGCGGCTGCATTCATATATTCCTGAAATGTCTCAGGTTCTGTCCATGTTTTAAGCAATAACCATAAAAATCACATTTTACAGTCTTAACCTCCCACAAAGCCTCTGTGTTACAGTACATACAAGGGAGAGTTAAATAAAAAGGAGAAATCTGTAAAGCAAACTGAAAATATGCAACAGTTTAGCTCGTGTAGCGTTAAAATAACTTTGGGATCCATGTTAGGATTATGATAGATGAAAACCACCGAAAACATGGAAAACAACAGCAAAATAATCATGCTGCAGGCAGGAAATAAAACACATGATTCCATCACTGTAGGTGAGTAAAACAGATGATTTTACAAGAAAAGAGCAAAGTGCAAGAAGAAAGTGCCCAGAAGTCCAACACTTTATAGTGTGATGCTTTACACTGTAGTCCACCTGTGGCATCTGTACAATTTAGGGTCCCCATGTTTGTTTGGGTTAAATAACAAACAAACAGAAAAAAGCTATGAGTCTCAGCTTGTGCATCCATCCTGTGTATTATGTGTACCCTCATAGTAAGGCAGAGGTCAGCTGAAAATAGAGGAACACGAAGAAAAGCATAGCAGAGAAAAAAGGCAGGTATCTGAACTGGCTCATGAGAGGAAGCAAAGTCAAGTGTTGTTTTTTTGTCTTTTTTTCATCCACTATGCTTTGGAACCTGAATCCTTAAACATGTCCTTTCATGTTTGAATCATCCGTGCATCCAGTTTAGATGTTTAGCCCTCGAGAACTTGCAAACCCTCCGCACACAGAGCAGATGGAGACATGAGTCAAAATCAATAGTTCAGGAACACAACTGCACGTCGCTCAGGAGGAAGCACTTGATTTGGCACGCTCCTCTCCTTTGCGGAGGATCTTGTGCAGACCTGGAGATATGTAGTAGGGCCTGGAAGAAGAGCCATCATTCCTCTCCAGGTCTTCACCTGAGACCACATGCCGGTGTAGAAGGAAAACAGCAGAGACAGCCGAATACAGCAAAGGAGACAGCCATAAGGAGAAAAGAAAGGAAAGGCTTAATGGACAAAAATAGGCAAGGCATATATGAAAAGGTGGAATAATCCAGAATGCCTTTTAGACTAATTTAGAGACAGTTTAAAAAAAGAACACACAGGTGAGTGTATGTTAGAAATGATATTTTTAGAAAAATACTGCAGACTTACAAAAGCAAAGGAACAGCGTGTCCACACACATGGCGTAGACGTTAAAAAAGCCACTTGTGATCATGAACGATCCAATTATCACCGTCTGAAAGAATGAAATGCTTTTATTTTGGCATTTTATGTAAGATTTTTTTTTTATCAAATACAGAATTTCATCTACTCAAACATTATAGTAGGGTCCCAGTATTCAGATATTCAGAAACATAAACAGTTTATCAGAAACTGTCTCTGAGTGAAATGAGCCATTTATAAGTTTAGACATCCAATGACAGCAAATAATGTAACATAATGTTATATAAAGTTATGGGTGTCTTTTATCAGAACCATTAAGCACCTAACTCAACCATGAGGCTTTGATTTAATGCTGTCTGGACGAAACTTTTGTTGGGACGTAACATTTGTCTCCCTTAAGAAACTGTGTCCAAGAGTGTATATTGATGCTAATGAAATGTAATGTGTTGCTGGCTGCAGTTTAAAGATATTTAATATGTATGCATAAAATTCATCTAAATGTTCTAAGTTAAACACGGTTAACCTGCTTCAGATGAAGCTAATAACTTTAATCAATGGGACTTAGTTTTTATTTCCTTTAAAAGATTCTTCATCCGATGGCTCAAATTTCAAAGTCTTACCAGAACGGGGACCCAAATGAAGTGAAGCGGAGGTACCATTTCTTGAAAAAGGGGTATTCTCTTAGAGAAGAAGAAGAATGCAAGGATACCTGGAAAAAATAAGTCAAACATGTCCAAATATATTAGTCTTCTTCAATAACTAATACCTTAATATACTTTCTGTAGAAATACAACTGTTTGCTTTTTGACCATATATACTAAAGGCATTATTAAGGTTAAAGAAAGGTATTTTATAGTGATTTTATATGAAAGACTACAATACAATTGTACATGATTCTGAAATTTTGCCCCATATTGTGACTTAAAAATCACACCTCATCTGGATCATTACCAAATGTAATGAATTGTTCCTTGGTATGAAGCAAACCTCTGTTATGTCCATAAAATCCATCCATACATTTTGGATTGATCCTGCTAACAAACAAACAACATTCCCCTTTCTTGTGTTTTTGTCCCCAGTAAAAGACCTCCAGACTTTTTCTATCTGATGCTGAGGCTATCAATAGTAACTGTTGCCACCCTCTGGTTTAAGGGGGGACTGCTTGTTTTGCAACATGTCCCTATCTAACAATGTTAGAAAATTACTAAACAAATTCCTGTATGCAGATTATGATCTAGATCTTCACAAAAATATTATGGATTGACCTCGACACAAGGGACACCTCTGATAAAAATTTCATTAAAATCCATGCATAACTTTTCAAGTTATCCTATACACAGAAAGAGAGACAAACACACACACACACAAATTCTCGTTCTTCCGTCGTAGTTAGGACCAGGTGTTGGCTCCCATTTGTTTCCCTTGATTTTCAGTCATATTCAACCCTTTCTATGCCTAACCCTAAAACTAACCATTACCAATGCATACCTCACCTCAGTCCTAACCCCAACCCATTGACACCTTTAGCCCTAAACCTATCCATTAGCAAAATAGCAAGTGAGTAGCAGCAAAATGTTCTCACTTTGCAACAACTGGTCCTCAATTTGATGGTGAAATTAGAAAAATGGTCCTCACTCTGAGGGCTAGACAGGTACACAGACACACAGACACACAAACTCCCCTAAAAACGTAACCTCCTCTGTGAGGTAATACAAATCCTTAAATATGTAGCTTATTTATCCTCCCCTTCTGTTGGTCTGAAAGCCTTCTGCTTTGTCTTTATCAACTTAGCACATCTAGAAACATATATTGTGCCAAGAATAGCTTAAAATCCCTAATATTTGACCTGTTTCTTACATGTGAGCTGTGGTTCTCTGCAGCTTCTCCAAAGTAATCATGGATCTCTTTTTTTATTTTAGAAGGACAACAATGCTTTGATAGATGTGCATATCATTCCCCTACCATTTACAGATAGTATACTAAAAAGCTGAGCATGGTGGTTTATGTGTTAGTACTGATTCCCTGCAGCTAGAAGGCCCTTGGCCTGAATTGTGACCAAGGCCTTGCTATGATGGACTTTTCATGTTCTCCTTATGCATACATTTACACGGTTCTTTCAAGGCAGTCCATAAATGTCCAAAAACCTACATATTGGATGAACTGATCTCTATGAATTTCCCTGAGAAATGACTGTTAGGCCAATAAAAGGTCAAACTCACCAGCTCCACCTGAAATAACCAGCTTTCCCAACAACAGCAGAAAGGAGATGACATTGTCCAAGACAACCACCCTAAAGATAAAAAAAGAACAAAAGAAATCAGATCGATGGGAAGGACTTTTCAAAAAACGCTTAGCACAAGTACATGCACTACAAGGGGTCAAAACAATGACAAAGGGTGTGCATTCTTTTGAATAATTGTCATTCCAGCATTAATTAAATAATTTTTTTTTCAAGCAAAGAGCTAATTTTCCATTTTAAATGGAAGTGTGAGACCCAATTGGTGACTGATAGACAGTTTCTGCTGCAAGTGCTGCTGAGACCTTCAGGCAGGGAGCTAACGGGAGTACACACCGAACAATATTCCTCATCAAGAGATCAAAAGCCTCCTTGGAAGATCTGCAGAAGTTCTGCCCATATATTGCTATCTGTTGGTGAAAAGAAAAGATGCTGTCAGCCGAGATAAAAGATTGACAGAGCAACAGCTATGAACCCCAACGCATAAATTAACCAATGCAAACTACCGACCATAATGTATGCATTTGTGTTGATAAACTTGATGAAATTTTCCAGGCACCAGAAGCAGCAGCTGAGGCAGTGGAGCAGGAACCGAGTCAAAGCATTTTGAGAACCTTGGAAAGGAACCACATTTTATTTAGAACTGTTGATTTTAATCAGAGTAAGAATAGCAGTTTGGTAATTAGCTTACCTTTCACTTTGTGATTGAGGTTCTCAAGAACAATTCGGATCATCTGCACCATAGCGAGGATTAGAGAACCAAAGGCTAAAGAACCGGTGTGGTAACTGAAAGACAGAAAAACGATGTGATCATAATCAGGCTACGTTCACATTGCAGCCCTTTATGCTCAATTCCGATTTTTGGGGAGAAATCTGATTCTTTTGCGTTGCCGTTCACATTTCCAAATATATGTCATCTTGCATGTGATCTCCAGTTTGAACTGCATTCACACAATTTAAGTGTCCCGCATATGCAGTAAAGGACGCAATGACTTCACAAGCAAGCCTGCTCTCTGTTTAAAGAATTAAACATGGATGGCAGTGCTGGAGTGCAACTTGCAATCCTTCATTTCTTTCCCAACCTCAGCCAGTGCAGTAACAATACAATCTTTTCATCTACCATGGTTGTTGTTTTTCTTCCCGCTTCTACATAGCAAGATGCAGAATATTGACCTTTGATGAGTATTAATGGCGTACAGGTCAGATGAATGTGACCTGGCCGTTCAGTCACAGGTCGCATTTGAAAAGATAAGATACGCATCGGATTCACGACCAAATAGTCAAGTGGCCTGGGTTGCATTGGAAGAAATTGGACTTGTGTTGTTCAGATTGTCATGAAAAGATCAGATACAGGTCGCATATTGGCATAAAGTTGGATTTGGGGCACTTCAGGCTGCGGTGTGAACGTAGCCTTAGATGGATGATCTTTTCTACCGCTACAGAAATAATAAAGAACAAGCAGCTAATTAGATTGATTTATCGCACTATATATTTTTATTTTGTTTTTTTTTTATGGTGTAAGGCAATATTTCTTTAAAGCAGTATTCCTAAATAAATAAACTTCCCCCCAATTTAATATTTTCTGTTTTTATTTATTTGCAGCCTGTAACTCAAACACACAGGCTTTTTAATGCATATTTCTATAAACATCAGTGAAAAGTATCCATGAAAGTGTATCTAAAACCTACCGTATGGCTCTGCTGAATGAAGAGTAAACTGGACAGGATGGGATGTCTTTTGGTTTCCTCTTTGCCCAGTAGTAAGAAGCAAATGCCCCTGAAAGGGTGCATTTCCCCAAAGCCAGGACAAAGTTGACCAGCCAGAGGAACACAAACAGGTTACAAAGATGTAGGACCAGGATGTAGCGGTGGTACACACTCTCTCCACCATAGAAAGCAAACAAGCACTGTGCTCCAGGGCAAACTTTGGTAATGTTGGTCTGATTGAAGGTCTGAAACACAGGAACAAATGTCAACTAGCTTTTTCCTCACAAAAACATTGCAGCTTGAAAATCCTTTTGAGACTAACAAGTACTGTGATGTGTGTGAGCTTAAGATGCTAACCTGTGGACTGCAGGTAATGTTTGCATACATGCACTGATCATCTGCAGGGGTCACCTTGTAGATCGCTTTACCTGAAGAGGCCAAAAAGCTGAGGGAGCACCAGTCAAGGCAGAACAACCAATATAAACAATGACTAAATAGAGACTCAGTCTCCCACAAATGCTGTAGATTAAAACAGAGGGGCATTTTAATAAAGTACCCTACTGCACAATAACTAATAACCCCATTTATGGTAAATATAAAGAGTATGTCATACAGATGATAAAGAAACATTTCAGTTTCTCAAAACAGTTGATTATTAGTCTATTAAAGCTAATTCTGAAGTTTCAGTAGTCAGCGATAACTCATGCTGCTTCTATTCATATTCAAGACTATCAATAAAATTCTGTTGATATTCCAATTCCACTAATTTTAAGGGTTGAATTCAGCTGAATGTGATATTTTGAATCTTCCAGTGACTTATAGCAAACCTTTATTTTATTTTTTTTATAAATAAATAAAATGTTTTGACTTAATTTGGTGAGCTACACATTGCTGGTGATGGTCCATGTTTTTTTTTTTATGTTTAAAGTCATTGCAACTGTCTACCGGGAAGTTTTAAAGTACATTTAATCTCTAAACCTGGGATTATTTAAAACCTTAGAAGAGCTGTTCATCTCCACACAGGAGTGTATGGCTGTAGTCTGGAGACCTCTTAAGTCATAGTGCAGTGTCATCTGGTGTCGTCCTTGAGTGACCATATATGATGTGTCACAGAATATGGTGAAACACCGGACAACTTGTCCAAAGAACAAAGGATGAGTGAGGATGTAATGTGAAGTTTTTTTTAGAAATATAAGAGCATTACGGCATGACTTAAGTTCACCACAGCAGCACCATGACATGGGTGGTCTGCAGCCTGCAGCCACTTATCTACTGCTTTCCTGCAGTACCTCATGCAAAAAGAATCCAAGAGAATTTTTGAGACATACTTCTCAATAAGTCTACATTTCTGTATGAAAAATCACTTTCATTATATTATTTAGCAGAGACACCAAATCTATATAATGTAGGAAGTGAAATATTTGAATGAAAGAGCATTTCTGGGGTATTCAAATGTACAGATATACGCCTCTAATTCAACTAGATGTTCTTACCTTGTAGGCAACCTTTAATTAATCTGTGTCTGAGCAGTTAGAAGGATACACTGCTGTGACAGCAGAGTAGGCTATACAGATTCCAAGAAGGAAAAAGGTGATGATCGGGTAGAAGAGTGTACACATGATGTAAAAGATGGCCCTAAAAAACAACATCAAACAATGTATTCATAAAAAAGGGCAAATGTACAATTTACTGATTAGCGCTTAGATTTACAATCACCTGCTTCCCTCCTTCAGCAGTGCAAAAGCGATGCCCAGGCTTGACCTCAGAAAAATCAGCATAATCACGATGACAACCTCAACCACAATAAGCAGGATCACTAAAAAAAATCAAAAATTGATGGTCTTCATTAGTTATAATAATCTAATAATCTATTTTTATATAATGGCTATGCTTCAGCAGAGTAAGGTGATACAGCCTGACAAAAGGACACTTGTTTTGTATTAAGTAGCAACTTTGGCTATAACACATGCAGCTGTTATTTTAGGCACAGAAAGCAGAATAAAATGATAAGCCAGAGAGTTTATATATAGGTATGGTGGTTGACTATAACTTACTGAAGATGAGCCATGTCTGGCTGTGCTCAAGGTAGATGCTGAAATCTGCCTGGAAGCCAATATCAGAGATGGTGACATTCACATCTGGTTTTGTTTTCAGAACGCTGTACTCTTTGAAACAGTGCCATATACCTGAGAGAAGGGCAGAGATAAAGGCACTGTTAAGAGTATTTAGCATAAGAGGAGAAACAGACGTAAAAACTGTTAAGAAATGCAACTTAGGTGTGCACTAGCTACTCATGAAGTGAGTCAATGCAGACTCACCGTAACCGACTGCAGAGATGATGCCGCAGATCATGAGCCACAGTATCACACAAGCAATGTAGCGCAGCAGAAGGATGAAGCTCAGACTGAGCGCCATGGTAAAACCCAGGCCTCTGTGGAAACACCGGCAGACATGTTGGCATGAGGAAAAGCAAACACATTGTTCAGCTTATTCTGTGTAATGGTGGTCAGGAAAACACATTGTTTGTCCAAAGTAGTAACATTTGTAACATACGAAGTTTAAAATAACAAAAATACTTAAAATTTGGAACTGGAAGTAACCAAAGTTTTCAAAGTATACAGATATGCTGATAGTTAACTATGAATACTAGGACCTGGCTAACCTATGAATCATTTAGAACTCTCTTTCTCAGGAGGATTTATTTTTCTATTATTCGTCCAACAGAAAAGCATATAATCAATTTAAAGGATGTATTTCAGGATATTTCCAAAAACCAGTGCGATGCTCACACCAAGATCCATATCCAGGAGTTTGCATAATCCTCAAGGATCTTGATGCCAACTTCTTTGGCGTTCAGCAGACTGGCTATCCTTCTGTAGTGGAGAAACAAGGTGAGAAAGAGGATTTGTAGAACCAAATGCCGTTGAAGAATATTTTTAAGTCAAGTGATTTACTTTGCAGATTGAATGGTTTGAAGTTTTCACAATTTTTATTTTTTTCTTTCAGTTAGAAGTTTACATACTAAGTCGTGATTACTGCCATGACTTAGACCTATTTGGAAAATGGCAAATGATGACGTTAATGCGGTCAGGGACAAAGACCCTTATTGTTCAAATATGCTCTGCTGTTTTTAACCAAACAGAATTATTAAACCATAACATCCAACATTATATTTGGAGTAAAAAACCGAGAAGACAGAGAATACTGAAACTACCATCAATGACTCTTTAGGCAGAATAGTGTGAAAAAACATATGGCATTCTAGGTAAATATGACTATAACGAAGAATCCATAGTTTGAGCTCACAAAGTTGGTCAGAGCGACTCACCCTACAAAACATACTTAGTTAAACCAAATACTGAGGAAATGCATGTAAACTTTTCACTCTGAGGAATACTCTAACAGAAAAAAACTCCTTGGTTTTAGCGGGGAAATCAATTAGTAGATAACAGTGATTGATAAGCTAACATCTAAACTTAAAACAGTTCCCCTGTCTTGCAACCAAAATAGGTTATTTATGGGTTATTACCTGATAAGCAAACAGTATGAGTGTAAATTTTGGAGTTACAAATATTTACCACCAGGGGGCAACATACCCATATCTTTCATCTGAATACTACAGCTACAGCACCACCAATAAAATAAATATAACTACACATTAAAAAAACAAAACATAAAAGGACAGTAAATATGTCACTTTTGAATGCATAAAATGTAAAAAAAAACAAAACAAAATAATAATAATCATTATAAAAATACAACATTTTAAAATTTTACCATTAACAGTTATTAATATTAATATAACAGTGATTTTCAAAAGGTAAGGTATAACCTAATACTCTGAGAGTAGCTTAGATTCAGGCAGTCAAGGAGCAGATCTTACATGGCAGCATCTTTCAGATCAATGACGCTCCTCGTATTGTTGTTACCGTCTTTGAAGGTGGTCTGATCGGCTACAGTTAATACTCCATCCTTTGACTTGAACTCTGGGAAGCACCGCTGTAGCACTGAAGCACATTTGGAAAGGAAACATGTAACTCTTGTATGTACAGTTAACCTCCATAGCTTCATGGTTCAGATTCAGGTTTAAATTCATTTCGTCTGATCAAGATTTTTATTTTTAAGAAACTGATACAAAATATTCCAAAAAACAAAAACAAAAAACAAAGTATAAATCTTAAAAAAAAAAAGCAATATTCCTTTATTTGTTAATGTCTTATTTTGAAAATATATTTATTGGCACTACAGTAATTAAACTGTTCTTTGAAAGCTGAACAGCTTTTCATACATTTCCCCTTAAGTTTTAAAGATTTATCTTTGGACATAAGCTCAAAAGTCTTTCAGATTGGAAGGCCATCTATGCATCCCCTCAATCTTTAGCTCCCTCCTCTGGACCTCTAGAAAATTAAAGTCAGGGCTGTGTTTGGGTGACTGAAATATATTGTTACACTCAAAAGAAATGTAGTTGTAAAATCAAAGCTACAGTTAAGGCCTAAATCTACTAAGTAATTAGAACTAATTCTGAGTTTAACTTTTGCTATATGGCAAATTATAACTTATTCCATGTTACTTCACTTACATGGTCTGCTTGGCACAATCATTGGAGGACAATCTTCATCTCGAATCACCTCTGCAATCGACTGAAAGATTAACAGAGGATACAATAACAATATGTTACAGTCACTGACTAATTGGTTGTGTAAAAGAGACAGTACAACATGCATACAACATTTTCCATTGCAATTTTCAAATCATTTCAATATTTTTCTGGATACAACACAGAACCTTTTCATTTTTTTACTACAATCACCTAACCAGAACAAAAACTGAGGCTCAGCAGAATTGAGCAGTTTTATGTCTTAAATCAAACTTCAAATCAATTTAGGAAGCAAACGATGATTCAGTTCTATCAGTATGGGTTGGGTGTTTTTTGCTCCCACACATCACCCTACACAGCATCATGCTAACGTCATTAGCACTAGGCTACCAGTAGTTGACAGAATGTAGCTGAGGTGAGCATGAGTAAATGCTGGCTCATTTCCGTCTGTCTGTGAAAACATGGACAAATTTGTTGTTCCGTATCATACTGTAACTGCAGAGATAAAAAGTAATATTTTCTTTTGAAATAATAGTTCAAAAACATTAATACTGAGGAAGAAAACATAAAGAGCCAGATGTTTGGAGAAAAAGGTAATCATTAGGTTTCAACTGTAAACCAACAAACAAAAAGAAAATAGCATCATCCTGTTTCTTACCTTACTGCCAATCACAAAACCAGGCTTGCAGAATTGCTTGTAATATCCCCAGTTGTTGGTACCTGAAACTTCCAGCAGTGTGGCAAATCTGTCAGGGCACTTGGAGACGCAGAGCTGAGGGGTAAAACACAACGCTCTATCGGTTTTGGTGAAAAGTTTGAGAAAAAAATGTTTAGTAATGTAAAAGTCTCTTCTAGACAGGGCTGCCTTCAGCCTCATACCTGAGTTGTAGGGCACTGGAGGTTAATTAAAACTGCAGGACTGGCACATTTCAGCATGTTGAAGTAGAATAATATGGCTTTGTTTCTGCAGACAAAGGAGATGCAAACAAAGAGGGGCCTTAGATTACAGAGATTGTGAAATCCATTGCTGAGTAACAATTTATCCTCAGCTTTAAAGCACACATAGGCAGAAAAAAACAAACATATGCTAGGCACTTGTTTGGATTTATTACAATTCATTTCTTGTATACAGTTTGGTAGATTTAGCCTGTTAAGAGTTTGAAAATAACAGTGAAAAGCTGACAGACATAATGCTCATCATTAAAAACTGCAAAGCAGAGATTGACAACACTATGCTGCTAAAAAGTATCGACACTTGAACTCTGTATCTGGATACAATACTACTCTCATATTTTATCAATAATAAAAATACTAGTGTTGTTTGCAAATATTTTCAATTGTTAATCCTAGAGTTCTAGATTATTTACACATTAAAAGAATAAAACCTCAGACAACCTTAAAATATTGTCAAATCCTGTATTATTTTGATTACTTTATTTTGCACTATCTATATCTATATCTATATCTATATCTATATCTATATATCTATATATATATATATATATATATATATATATATNATATATATATATATATATATATATATATATATATATATATATATATATATATATATATATATATATATATATATATATACATTCCACATAATATCAAACATAATATCCAGTGTTGGATACATTTGTATTGGGGCATAGTTATTTATTTTTTTGGCAGAAACGACTTACGCATTCGAGGTGTTCTGCTGGCCACAAAACTGACCCTGGCTGTCAGTTGGATACACGATTTTCCTGGGGTCTCCATGAATCCAGGCTATGGGGGGGAAAAAAGCAACAGCTTTTTGTTTTTTCAGATTCACAAATATTAGAAAAACCATTGTTCTAAATCATAGAAGCTATAGTGGTAAGTTATAACGCAACAAGTCAGACTAGAGTTGAAATAGAACAAAAGTAGTCCTACAAAGCAATGCTGGATATTATACATACTGCTGGGCACTCGTGTAACATAAAGTAATATTCAAACCTTATCTAGAATTTACAACTCCTCTTGGAAATATTTAACAACATTATTTAACAGTGTACGTTTCTGAAAACTTTGAATAATAGTCCATACATTCTCAGTAGGGCTGAGGTTGTTTTTAGCTGGCTTAAGGTTAGCCGGCATTAATCGATTCTAAAACAGTTTTTGTGCTTTAGATAATTTCCAACCTGAAGCACCAACCTGTGAAAAAGTTTGAATTATCTGACAAACTGACACTAAAACAGCAAGACTTAAAGTGTGTAATAAAAGATGTTAATAAGAGTGTCTCTATTCAGTGTAAATCAAGTTTATCATCGATACGAATTAAGAATGCAAGAACAAAAAATAAGTTGATCCACTAAAATGGACACCTTCGAGGAATGGCCTGCCTAAAGCCTCAGTCCAGCTTCTCCGTCTACAGGTCAACAGGTGGTCAAATATTCAGTCAGGACTGACAGTCTACCCTATATGTCTGTCTATAAATATGGGTATAAATATCATTTCTTCAAGGGAAAAGCGCTGATAAGTCTCTTAATAATAGTTTATAAGCTCTACTTCTTTCCTAAAATTCTTTTTTTTATCGAGTTTTAGAATGGGGAAAAAAGATAGATTAGCAGGATATAAATATGATAGATCAGAGAGGAAATTTAATGCATTGTTATTAAACAAAAAATCTGTATAAATATTTGTATAAAGTAACATACATGACTATTTGAAATGAAGAAGAGCACAGCTAAAGAGGTTTTATTTAGATTAATCAAACTCAAAACCACCAGATATTTGGGTTAATTATAAGCTAATTTCAGGACTTTGTGTGATGTAATCGTCAGCAATGTAGCAAACTTACCCACAGTACCCAGGGCGATGTAACCAAGGATAACGATGACAAAGATAATGCAGCAAAGCACATCAGTGCAGCTCCTGTAAATTAAAACACGTGGATAAATATAAACCTGATTAATTTCCCAGTCCCTGGAGAGAACTTAGCAGAGAAATTTGCTGTTATTTTGAAAGAGCAAAAGAAAACACAATTTCATCTGTAGCTGGTAATCATTATACAGAGAAACGTGCTGATGTGAGCTGGCTTATAGATTTCTAAATAAATTATGCACACAGTGAGAGGGAAGATAATCTCTACAGTATATTTTCAAAGGAGCCAATGCAGCGCTCATCCAACTTCCCAATGAGACTCTGAATCTAAGCTCCCCAAAGGGTTAATTGTCCCAAGGGCAGAGAGGGAAATATTTGAATTTCTCTATAACACAGGCTGTGAAAAATTCTATACATATACCACCATATCTATCTATCTATCTATCTATCTATCTATCTATCTATCTATCTATCTATCTATCTATCTATCTATCTATCTATCTATCTATCTA